CTTCGCAGTTCACCCTCCGCACAGTCGTTGAACGAAGCTGGCCGAGGTCGCCGAGGAACTGAGTCCCTTTGTGTCCCTAGCCTTGGACGCAGCAAGGACCGATCTCACCAAGACGCAGGTGCGATCTAGCTGTGAGAGGTAAGCCAATGCCGTTGCCAGCACCGGCAGGTAACAACGGCGAGAAGTGATACAGCAGTCGGTGCGGTTCTAGCTCTTACGCTGCTGACGAATCCGTATGCATCAGACTCGATCCTTGGATTCTTAAGCCTGCTTTCTCCACGAATCGTGATCTTTCACATACTTTCCCACTAAGCACGAAGAGAGGATTGAGATGCAAGTTTCTTTCGCTTGTCGATCTTAGGCCGCCATCTTTGATACAAGTGGAGGCGGCGAGACCAGAGGACCCTCGCTCCGTTTATATAGCATTCTCGAATGCGCGACTTGGCTAGCAAAAGGGGCCTCGGAGATGCGATCAAGACTTCCAGGCGCACTGTGCTGCGTCCAGCAGTCCTAGCCGCAATCGGTATTGCTGATTGCTGACGGCATGAGTGGCCAGCATGATGCAAGTGCGAGGTACATCGAGAAGCTGACGTACCCTGCGCTACTGGTTCGGGACCTAATGTCAAGATTCTGCAGCCACGGATCTTCATATGCTTGCGGGGTGAGCCCTGAGAGACCAGGTTGGCGCCATAGACGAGCGTGAAAACATAGCAACCTGGATTCCTGCAGATGCCGCATATCGTCCCTCGAGCGGAGAGCCTCTCGTCTGCTCCGTCGGACGGTTGATAGAAGTCATTGCAGCTGCAGCGGCACGGCACCCTCTGCCTCCCAGTGGGATGTGAGGACGATATCTGTGGGCACTGCCGGCGGAAGGCTTGGGCATCATTTTCTCTACGCGGCTGACTTAGTCTTGCGTTTCATTCCTAGCATCGAGCCAACTGGGGACATCCTTGCCAGAGGTCCTGTCATACCTCCTGCACTGTTAGTCCCTGCACCTTGTTGGTGACCCCAGGGCTAAAGCTGACACGGGCAGCAAAGGCGAGCCTTGCGACTGTGGAGTCTCAGTCCTTCGCCGACATCGTGGTGGCTCGCTCTGGCTTGGAGATGCAACAGGAATTCGTGAAAGCAGAGGCTAAGACTAAGATGAGCGATGAGAAGAGATGAGAGGAGCATTCAGACTGTGGAGAGTTTCGAATTGCTGGAGCTGAAGAGAAACATGAGAAGCGGACTGATGGCACCACCGTCGTCGTTGTCGTCCTCGTCTTCCCCTTGCAAAAGAGTCCTACCGTCCGACCTTTGTGCCAGACCCCCGGCGCGAACCCAGAGCGCCGAAGCCGAAGAATTCAGACAGCTTACCTGTTCAAGGTTGGGAGTAGACCCAAGCTTCCCTCCCTACCAGATTCGAGCTCGCACAGCAACAAAGTAGCGCGATGCCCACAATACAGGAACACCCACTCCCATGTTCAAACCGTCCGATTTTCCCCTGTAGTGGGCAGCAGGTAGCGGATTCACAAGGCAGCAGTTGGAGTCTTAAAGCAGATCTCTTGACATGTGTAGCCAGTGTAGCTATTGCAAGTATTGCCTCACGATATGAGTGAGGAATAAGAGCAAACATCATAAGGGCACGTCTAGGGTCGGCATTTGGCTTGTCACACCGCAGTTTCTTGATGTAAGTTTTGTTGGATGGTGTTTCCGATAGGATTCGAGCGTTCACCTTCTGTTCGCCTGTGGCGGACCCAGGCAGCCACTGCGACCGCGAAAACATATTGGAGGCTGCGGATGCATTCTCTTGCTCGGCGGTTCTCTCACATCGTCGAGGAGCACTGTAGGACTGTAGGACCCGTAATGAGCAGGTTGACGCAGAACACGTCGTACCCTGCCCGCGCAGCCTGCGTCCGGCTTGGTGCCGACAGCACGTGGAAGCAGGAGTCCCGTTCTCGCCACTTCTGTGAGACCTCACAACCCTGAGTCAATTGCACGGCCCTTCAGGAAGCGGTCTATCGCCCAACCGTCACAGAGCTGCAAGCTGCAGGCATTACAACAGTGCTATGTCTGCAAGATGCTTCTTCAAATGTCCGGTGAACGAGTCAACTGCAGAGATCAGCGCTTGGACATCACCAGGGACGTCTCGGTGGGTGTCGGGACGTCTAGCAGACAGGAGTGAATAGACGCACGTCATGTCCGGTGAGTACTAACGATCTTTAGAAGTCAAGCATGCTCAGGGATTCGCGGCCACCTGACCACTTGCACGCAGACTGAGGACCTCAATGGGTTCTGGTGCGTGGCGGAGCGGGGTTTCGGAGCATTCGGCATCTTCATTCCGTTCGCTGCCCGGCACAAATTCGGCACAAATGGCTGCTTGTTCGGATGTTCACTCTGAAGCCATAGTCGTCTTTCCTTCCATGAATTGCATGCTATAGATGTATCATCTGGCAACCGTCTCAAAGATTGCCTGAGGCATCCGAAACCACAACGCCAGCGCCAAGCACGACAACTCCAGCATCTGTGGCCCAAGACGTGCAGGGCCAGGCCTGCCACGGTTTCGGAGTTTAATTAAGGGCTCATTGGGACCTTTGGGAGTTTGGTGTGTGACTTAAGGTCTGACGTAAGGGCTGGGGCAAGGGGATGCCCGTCCCTGGCGAGGAACTGTGTCATCGCCCGATCTCTGTCTGTCTCTCTCTCCCTCTCCCTC